TATATATATATATATATATATATATATGTGTGAAAGTGATTTTTTATTGTAGTGTACATTTTGATGCTAACCCTTCATGTAATTTGAACTAGTTCATTACATGGTGTAATAGTAAAGTACTTCTAGAAATCTTTCACTTTTCTGTTATTAATTTTTTCCTCAATAGAGTTCTAAAAGAAGACCTAGAATCTTCAAACTACTGGAAGAAATTTGAAGCTATGCTTTTCCTGGAAGAACTTCAGATGAAAACAGATATTCGATGTTATGACATGAAGAATGTCACTATGAATAAAGATACAAGGAACATTGGACTGCTAATGTTAGAGGTTTGTATAATTCAGTAGTGTGTAGTATTAACTCACAGGCTTATCTGATGCTAAAATGGTGATGAACAAGTAAGATATATGATATATTCTCCAAAGCCTAGGTCACAGATGTGATGCTTTTAAAATATTTACTCTATATCATAACATGTCAGCTGTAAAAAAAATTGTGTACAAGTTTGAAAACAAATTTACCTATTTCTGACTAATGCATAAACATGAAAAATCAGACAAGACTAATAATATCGTTTTAGTTCAGTCTTTTGCTTTCTTTCAAACAAATGTGGACTGCATTGCAGTATCTGAAAACAGATTCATTTTTTCATACATCTATGTAGTTTACTGTTGATAAGTGTGCACATTCATTATTTAGATCACTATATATTCATTTGTTTATGAGAGACCTGCGAGTAGAGACCTCCAGTTTAACTATATGCTCACTGTTCAAGAGATATAGCAATTTATAGTAAGTACTTATCGTTAAATATTCTGTTCCCCATCTTGTTACCAAGATCCTTTACAGTTTCTTTCTGAGTGCACAGTTTTTGAATTTGCAAATACATGTAAGTGTGTATAGTAAGTCTGTCAATTCAAATTTTAATGATAAACTTAATTACTTTAGTGAAAAGGTGAGATAGTGATAGAATAACATAGTATATTTAACTCTAATGTTAGGCTTAACAGTGTTATCAACAGTTACATGTATTTAAACTTGATTATTTATTCCCAGGCTACAATGCTTAAGAGAAGTGTAGGTGTTTAGTGTTCATTGTTTGTAAGGTGCAAAGAGTTAATGTTATTTGGGAACTCGGGGACTGGCATTACATTTAATGAAGCTAGTATTGAAGATGTAAAATTTCTATGTAAAGTATGTAAGTTGGAGGAAATATTTGAGGCTATCCTAAGTATGGTAGAGACAGTGGATAAAGAGAAGGGTAAACTACAGGAAATGGCAGCATGATTTAAAGAGGAACTTAAACTTTTGCATGCAAAGGATACATTTGTTAATAATGACTTTCAAGAAGTTAAAACACTACTAATAGGGCTAACAGTAGTGAATTTAATTATAATGAGCATGTTCTAATAAGCAACAGATTTAAGCTTTTAGCTTATGCAGGTGAAGAACTATGGGAAGAAAGGATAATATAAGAGGCAGATAGGAATGGGAATTTAAAACATAAGGAGTTGACTGTTATAGGTGATTTAGTATGTTTTAGTATGGCACATAGATAAAATAGCCTGTGGAGGTAAATAGGGAGAAAATAATTATATTATGCTATCTAGGGGAAAGATAGAAGATATAACTGACAGAGAAAATAATATGAAAAAGTGCTAGCAGTGATGCAGCCTTTGTAGTGCACATAGAAGCTAATGATGTAAGGAAGGATAAGTCAGAAAAGCCAATTGTTAAGCCTAAGGTATTGATAAAGGCATTCAAAGAAAGGAGCCATAATAACTTTATTCTGTTTGGGATACTGCCAAGACTTAATTGTGAGGAAGAAATTATAAGTAAGTCACTAGAGCTCATTGCTAGGCTTAGGTTAGGTTGATGCTTTGAAACTCTGTAAATCATTTTCTGTAAAGTCATATTCCAAACAAAAGAATGATAACAATTTAATGTCTGAGTGCATGTCAAAAGAACATCTTTTTATATAATGTGAAAGTTCCAATTTGAAATTGGATCAGTGTTTATAATTGGACAGAAGGATAATAAGTCAGTAAAGGCAGAAATTGAAAGTGCTTAAAGGAGCCCCATAAAACTCAGAAACCCCTGGCACCCCATCAAAATTAATCCAGTCATGATGATATTGCAGTATGACAGAAAAAAAATTCTTTTGTAGAACAAGATCAGAATGAGAATTGTTAGATCATTTTGCACTTGTCAGTATCATGTTTAGTTTTGTTGACAAGGCCATGTTATTAGGATTTATTGGTTTAAATAACTGGTTGAATGGGCAAAGAAATATAAAAATATGTATATATCAGTTATTATAAGATTGGTTTAAACTTGTTAAATAAAGCTCAATTCTGATTAACAATTTAAAAAATAGTTGGCTTGTATATGATTTTGGTATAAAAAGTAATTGTTTGTATGTTATTAAACGATGAAACTGAATGCAGTTTTTTAAATCAAAACAGACAAAATATACAATTTTATAGAATAATAGCTTTATTGAAAAGCTTTAATAATAAATAACTAATTTAAATTACAGAGAGGTGAGCATTTTTAATTCTTTATTAATTAAAAAAAATTTTACAGAGAATCAGTTATAGTTAGCTAATAGTTAATAGCTTTAGGTGTAATGGATTTCTAAACACCAAATTCTTTATTCAGTCCATTGGCATTTCTCTGAGAATAAGAGTGTCTAATAGTACTTAAACTAATGTACACTATGTTTACCATATAATTGATTATAATCAGTATTAATCATGCTTCTTCAACAAAATGTGTTCACATTATAACAGTTATTATCTCACAGAGAAATTTCTAAAGCTGAAAATTTATGCAAATACCATGTATAACAATAAGATATTTTATTTAACAAATACTACATAATCTGTTGAAATTCATCTCATGCTTCAAACAATTTGATACATTAGTTTTTGTTTGAACCATAATAACATAAACCATACCTCAAGTACATTAAATCGATGCACTCAGTCATTTTAGAACTAAATGGTAACATCAGTTTTATTTTTAATAAAGCTTGCTTATAGTCACTTGTATTATAATAATTTTTTAGCTTTAATTGTTACAGTTGTATTGTAACCTACATCACTGAAGTAACTGATGCTTGCTGGAAAAGATTAAGTTTTACTGTTTCAGAGACATATGGTTGTCAAGAGGGCATAATCAAGAAGGCTTTTGCAATCAAACTTCTTGCCTTCAATATTATGTTTTAATGAAGTTTTGGGGCATTTGTATGTTCCTTAATTTTTCTGGTTGAAGTTTGATTGTTGATGAGACAGTAAAATCCATAAATTTTTATTCACTGCATTTAAATCAAATTTAAATAACTAAATTGTGAGTAAAAGTTCAGTAGAACTTTGTTAATTGTTTAATCTCGGGCTCTTTTGAAGGATCAAAATTTTCTCTCTCACCTGTAGCATAGCCTCATTTTCATCTTTACTTATTACTTTGAATGTGGTGGAAGATTATCTAAGCACATAGTAAGTGAATATGATGTTATCACATCCCCAATCATGTACATCAAAGTAATTGATAAAGCTGAAAATGAGGCTATACTGTGGGTGAAGGAGATGTTTCTGATTCTTCAAAATAATCTGAAATTGAACAATCAAGAAAGTGCTACTGAACTTTCACTCACAGTTTAAATATTTGAATTTGGTTTATAATGTTGTTGATCATTTTAAGGCAACTATTATTAACAAGACAGTAAATTTCAGTGTAATGCTAAGTGGTAGTGTTTAACACCTAAGTATACCTCTTATGTATTTCATCCCAATAACTATCAGTGAGCTATGACATCATAAAACCTCTGAAG